GTGCCCAAGTTAATCTCACAGAGTAAAGGATACACTGGTCCCCCTGCTGCTGACCCCACGGGGCATGAGAAGAGGCCCCATTCCTATAAAGAAAGGGATGGTAAATATCTAACAACCAGCAACTCAAGTGGGAAAAGGCTCGATTTACAGAATTTGCCATTTTCTGTAGTGTAAATGTTCTCAGCATGGCTGACGTCAACCTAACCACCCTCAACACAAGTCACTGACTTGGCATTGGGAAGAGATGTGGTAGGAGGCTCCTGTGAGCAGTGAAGCCTGGCTCCAGACTCCATTGCCTGATTGTTGACCCAGCCACAGTTCTAGCCACTAAATTCCTCTCCTCCCCTCCCTACATGACTTCCACCCTTGTCAGTGGGTGTTGATTCTCCTCCACTTTCAGGATCCAGGATGCCAAAGTCTTCCCTGGGTGCTCACCCAGCCTAAGCTGCAGCACTGGCTTCAGCATGATCCATTACAAAGATATATGAGGTTCCACTAAGATATTCCACAAGAACCCTAGCCGATGGCTAATTAACCCTGGCCACCAACTCAGGGCAGCCTTGCTATGCAGTTGGTCCCTCTCCGCATTCTCTCCACTTGGACTGTCTTGTCTCATGCCTCTCCCCTCTAACTCCTTACCTTCTACTATATTTTATGTATTTACCAAACTTCTAGCCTCCTTCTTTGACTCCAGTTTCCCATCCAGTACCATAGGTCTGTTGACAAATTCAATTTCTACATTAACTACACTGGATGAAGATGAAATTATTAAATAATTTTTTCTGTCTGTATCTCTCTCTCTTTCTGTCTGTGTGTCTGTCTGTCCGTCTGTCTGCGTGTGTGTGTGTGTGTGTGTGTGTGTGTGTGTGTGTGTCTCTCAGAAACTCCCTTTACAAACCTGCCTGCCCCTATTCATTGAGGAGTGGTTTGCTTTGCAGGTCCTGGTTCTACACAGTCCACTATCTCCAAGATGAAATACGGTTGTCCTATTCTGACTATGGTCAGAGATTTTAATGTCCACAGTTGAAACTCTGATTTCCATGCTGATCTCTTCATTGGAATATCTTCCTGTGTGCTCCATCCATCAGAATAGCTAAGTTATGGCTGTCTATTCCAATATTACACTTGGAAGTCACTCCCTAGACACACCTAGCTGTGTCAAAATGGACAATGGCGTCTGTCATTCTTAGAGTCAGCATTCCCAACAAGGAACTTTCTCCCCACTTCAGCACATGTTATGTCCAGGACAGGCACTCCTCATCCCCCCTGCTTACTTTCCTGCCCCTGGTCAATATAAACAAACATAGCTCTCTACTGTCAGCTCCACTAGGAACAGTATAGTAGGGCTGCAGAAGAGGTCAAAAGTGAAATCTGAAAGAGGAAAGGTAAAGTGACAAGAAAGAATAGAAGGTAGCAGGGATATGTTATGTTCTCCAACACTCCATTAGGCATTCCAGACCTTAGAAACCTACACGTGATGTCTTTTACCTAAAACAATGAAGTGAACAGATTTCTTGCATGACACCTACCAGGATCCATATTCCAGCTAAGCGTATTTTTGCCCCATGCAAATAGTAAGGAAACAGTTAACAGTAATATTCCTGAGCTGAAGCAGGGAGGATGCTTAACAGTGTTACAGGGAAGCATATGGATCCCCATATTTTTTACCAAAGGCAAGCTATTCTAAGCTTGGACTCAATCTGGAAGTTATTCTTCCCCCAAAATGAGTTGAGCTCAAACACCTTCACCCTATCAGAGTGTAGGGCACTATGCTGCATACAGGAGCAGCAGGCAGGGAGTAGGCAGTGAGAAACAGAAAGCTAGGATCATTCAAATAGAAATCCCATATTAAGTACAGCTGGCAGTTGGTATTTGGCTGATCATCCTGGAGAAAGCTCCCTTCCCAATGAACATCGCTGGTAAAGATTATGGAGTAAACCTTCAGGAACTGCATGTGCAGAGATGGATAACCGCTGTGGTGAGTAATGAGGACCTCGACACAAGGAACACAACATCCCAGCCCAAACCACAAGGGAATGAGTGCAGCAAAAGCCACATGCAATGGCTCAGATGTGCGCCCCCTCCAAGGCTCATGTGTTAAGGGTTCCTGGTCTGAAAGTGCTACCGGGAGGTGATGAGCCTTTAAAAGGTAAGGCTTAGTGGGAGGAAGTGAGGTCATTTGGGGGCATGCCCTTAAAGTGGATATTGTAACTCTTAATATCTATTATTTTCTCACTGCCATGAGGTGAGTAGCTACCTTCCACCATGTTGCACTGCTTCTCCATAAGCCCAAAGCAATGGGGCCAACCAACCATGGAATGAAACATACAAAATAATGAGCTGAAATGAACCTTTCCTCTTTTTAAATTTATTTATCTTGGGTATTTGTTACAGGAATTGAAAGCTGGCCAACATAGCACAGGAGAGAAAAAAAAAAAAGCATAACCCGGAAGCAGTAAAATACAGAACAAACTATAATAAAAAATATCCCCTCTTCCCCACCAAAGTTTGACATGGTTTGTTTAATCCTTAATGAGGATGAATTGTAATTAGTATAGAACTACACAGTATAATTACTGCATATAATTATGCTTGAGTTAACAGTAGAGTAAATCATATATAGTTTGTATTGTATAGTTGAGTTTTCAATCTTTTTGGGGAGGCTATGAAGGGTACATCATAATGTCCTTCAATTAAGGATACCTTCAGGAATACATGTATCACATGGATCCCTTTAGATATTTAATTCAGGACTACAATGCTGAGAACTGCCTAATCTAGGAGTTGCATCCCTTACAAAATTCTGCCTTTGGAGACTTATTCCTGCTGGGAAGACCATCCAAGAGCAGAAGCAGTCAATAGGAATCAGGGTCCCTTCTTGGTCCCTGGTCAGCAGACTTCCCTGAGGGACCTGCAGTCTGGTTCTGGGGAATCCCTGACTCCACACCTCTGAAGGCTGCCTGTCCTTAATCTCTATGTGTCTTACCCCACTTTTCCCACCACATTCCCTGAAACCTTTCTGGACATTCCCCTCCACTCCTTCTTAGTTCTCAAAGTAACCCATGCAGCACTGAGGTGATAAAGTTCAGTAGAGGAAGAATCACAGGCTTCCAGCTGCTCCAAAATGCAGATCATATGATCTTAATGAAGTTTGGACCCACATATGAAGCAGGCTGTGCTTTGTGCATGCAGTCTGTGTCTATGAGAAAGACAGACAAACAGAGGTCAGGGGTACGGTCTGTAGGAGAATGTAAAGGACTTGGGGTTGAGGAGAGGTAGCCACACCGCAGGAGACTGTCCCTTACCTCTCTGGCTTCCCACCCACACCTTGTGTAGGTCGTTCTTCTGCAGAGCCTCTGCCACTGCCGCAGAATGGCAGCTCCCTCCAGTGCCCTTTCCAGTCCTACCCCTTCCTCTCCACATCACCTCCCCCGGTGGCAGGCAGGATCCTCTCCTGAAGCATCGGATTTTATCTTAGGTGAGAAGATGCCTTTAAAGCTCAATGAATCGACTAATTTTGGAAAAACATCTCCTTCTCCCTCGTTAACACAATTTCTCTCCTTCCTAAAATACTTCTCCACTCTTCATCCACTGGAATCCAACAATTGGCCTTCTTTTCTGGAATCACTTCCCCCTCCTGGGCTTCCTGTAGCATGGGGTCTGGATGGCTGAAGTTTGGAGCTCTGATTTCCAAGTCCATCCTTCTGCTACTGCCAGCAACTCAAACACTGTACCCTTGACCCCTTCTGTCCCCAGAGCTTCAACCTTTGACCCCCTTTAAGAGCCATACAGGCCAGTAGCCCTCTCACAGCACCAGAGTGGGTGGAGGGGGCTATGAGGACAGCCAGGGTCCACTGTTCACCTGTGCAACCCCTGGCACCATAACTGGAAGCTCCTGGATCAGGAACAGGGACCTGCCCCCCTCAGCCTCTGTCCCTGAAACCAGCTTTCAAAGGCCATCCTGAGACAGAGTAAGTGACACTAAAAACAGCAAGTTCCCCCCTACTCACTCCACCCCCCGCCTGCCCACTGATAATAATGGGCCAAGACACTTTTATTATCATTATTAATTAGCACTTTCAAGCAATGGAATTAAATCAATATGGTGGACTGAAACTAATTTTAACAAGCCATTGAGATCAATCATTGGGACTTTTATCTACATAAATGCCACTAAACTCAGCTCGTTAGTGTAACATTAGCTGGAAAGAAAAAGAAGGGAGACTGGCGGGGTTTTAATTAGGAAGACATAAACCGAGCCACAATTTTTCTTCTTTGATTTGCTTTTAATCTCGTCTGCAGAGCTCTTCTGGTGTTGCCCAGGCTGATTTTCAGTCACTGGTCACTGGGACAGGAAGACGAGGGGATGCAGAAAGAAGGCATGAAGGGCAGGCAGCCAAGAATCCCGCAGGGGACCCCTCTCCTGGGCCACCCAGAGGTGAGCCAGGCGATCAGCTGTGGCCCCCAACTCTCCACACCCAAATTCTGTCAGAGCTGACCATCACTCCCTTTGTGTTCACCTCTTTTTGCATTAATTCACTTCCACATGCTATGAAAATTGGGTTCATTAGTTCACTCAAACAACAGAGGAGTACTTAGCATGTGTCAGGTGCCCTGCTTGTTCCAATAAGAGCTTTTCTAAAAAAATCAAAACTGAGCAAAATGTGGCTGTACTCTCTGAGAACCTGTAGTCTGGTCTTAGGCACTCCCATAGCAATAGCTCTGGAAAGCAAGGACTATAACTTACTTCTTTGTATGCTCCTTCCGCATCTGGCCCTGGCATCTATAGGACAATGGTAAATGTTTCAGCTTCCCATCACCATCACAAAATACCTTACATAATTTATAAAGAGAAAGTTTTATTTTGGCTCACAGTTTTGGTCCAGGCAGGAATGCATGGCAGAGCAAAACTACCCATCTCATTGCCAGGGCCCCAAAATCTCTTTCAAGGGCAAATGTCACCTAATCCTAACCCTAACCCCAAGACTTCCTGGTAGATCTCATCTCTTGAGGTTCCATCATCTGCCACTAGCACCACTCTGGGGAAAAACCCTTTAATTCAGGGGCCTCCGAAGATTACTTATCCAAACCATAGCAGTGTGAGGGGCAGAGACACCCTTCTTTACACACACATCATTCCTGTCTACGCCCTGCCAACCTGAGCCTCCCTGATCCTTGGGCACCTAGCCTTACCCTTTGACCCTGCCTTTGCGAGGTCTGATAATACCCCTCCAGGCTTTCTCTGTGACAAGTTGTGGTTTCTTATGCTTCTAGACTGAGTTCTCAGTCACGCATGACTGGAGGTACATATCTGGTTGTCTTGCAGCTGCTCATTTCTATCTCTGTGACAGCCACCACCATGGAGTTCTGTACTCTTCTGACTAGTCCTTCCCACTTTGACGACACCATGAGCATGGTGAGGGTGAGAAATGAACTTCTGCAGCCTTGTCATCCCCTTCCCCCCAACACCTGACACAAAGCCAGCCCTCCACTCTGAACTGCGCCCAGCAAAGAGCCACCTATGCACAGCAAGCTCTGGACACTAGCCCAGTCAGCATTTGAGGCTCACCCACACTCCATCCCTTGGCGGACCTTGGGTATGCTTCTTCCCACTGCTTCCCAGCACAAACCCGCAGTCCTAGGTATGCTTACCCCAGCCCTCCTCCACATTCTGGTTCCATTCATTTCTGTGCTTCCAAAGAGGCTCACCTTTCTAGACCCCACTCACTTTCCAGGCCCATCAAAAGCCTTGCTGCCCTCTCCCCACCCCATGCTGAATTTCCTGACCCCTGTTCTCTTCCTACTCAGCCTCCCATGCCGGCCTTCTCACAAACTGCCTCTGCTACCAGCTATGCATGGTGCCCCAACTTTCACACTGGTCATGGCACAGAAATCTTCCCATGTGGCACTGCCTTTGGGAGCAGATCATTCCTCAGTGGGGCAGGGCTGGGACCAAGTTCCAGCTCTACTGTTCATTGCCCTCATTGCCTTTGGTAAGTTATCTAACCTTGCTGTACTTCAGTTTCTTCATCTATAAAATGAGAACCAAACAGTACCTACCTAGGGTTACTGTAGAGATCAAATGGATTAGTTTACATAAAGCACTTGGGGTTCTGCAAACAGTAGCTGGTAAATGTGTTTATTATTAACATCATTGCTATAATTGTTACTATTATTACCAACATGTGTGCTCTGAGGTCCTCACTACTGAGCAAGCTGTTGACTAGAATTTAGCTTTCCTACATGATCTGTTATCAATCTTCTTATTAGATATGTTTCTCATTAAAAATTAATAAATTGACCTTCCAGAATTATCTATCAGTCTCTCCTAAGTTAGGTTAAAGTAAATCAATGCATGAGTCTAGTTCACTCCTGCAAATGCTAACAGTTAAATTTCTGAGGCAGGGGTTCTAGACCTTGGGGACCACACCAAGGTGCCACCAGCCTGGAGCTCTGCCTGTGCAGCCAGCAAGGCTTCCTGGGCCATATATACTTTGGGCTCCTATATACTTAGGTTTACCTCTTTATGTAAGTGACTTAAAATCTCCAAGCTCTAGTTTCCTGCACGGTGGAGAAAAGGTAGTAACACCTGCACCAAAGTGATGTCTGTAGAGACTGGATGAGATAAGGAACAGGAAGCACTTGAGCATGGCCTTGCACTTCGAGGTGCTCAGTATCATCACTCCAAGAGCTATTAGGTATTGGTGTATTTCACTATGTTCTTCACACAACAAAAAATTTAAACAAACTTTATTTTTGCAAAGCCCTCTCACATATGTAATCTACTTAGCATGATAACCACTCTCACCTAACAGAGAAGGGCGCTGGGAACAAATCAAAGTCACTTTATTGAACAGGAGTTTCTGGGGCCTGAAGGTACAGATAGGGAAAGAGGAGAAGTTGGTCAAAGAGTACAAAGCTTTAGCTAATAACTTCCGGAAACCTACGGTACAACACAGTAACGAGAGTTTGTAATCATGTATTGTATATTTGAAAATCGCTCAGAGTAAATCTGAAATGTTTTCAATGCACATACACACCCACAAAGATAATTATGCAAAGTGATAGTCACATTGATTAACTTGAACATGGTTATCATTTCACACTGTGTACATGTACCAAATAGCACGTTGTATATCACAAATAAACGCATTTTTTTCATTTACATCTTAATAAAACTAGAAAAGCTAAAGTCACTTTCTTAAGATCACACAGTTTATAAGTTACAAGGCTAGGTCTCAACCCTAGGGCTTCTCCCATGATCTAGTAATAATGACAATAAAAACTCTACTGTTTGTTTAATTATGCTTTAAAACTATTTTGAAATTTTGGCAATACTTTAGAGCCCCTTCCGTGTCCTGCTATCTGTCGCTGTACTAGTCACACTAATAAGGTGCCCAAGTGTTTAAAGCTCTGAATCATAAAACTCACCCATGTGCTCTACAGTGACTGCCCAATACGGGCCAGGAGTCCCAGAACTAATAGCATTCTCTGCATTGCTTTGTGCCTAGCCTTGGGGGTGATCCATCACTCCAGCAGCTCTTAATGAACAAGAGGGGCAGGTTGTGTCAGGAAGGACCAGCCTCAGACACCAAAGGCAGCACCTGAGGTGCTTCCCTTTGTTGTAATGGCTGCTTGTCTGTTCTTGTGCCATTAAGCAAGTTCATGATTCAAAGAAGCTTGGGGGAAAACAAGTTCACTTCTTAGTCACAGATCTGGTTGCCTGTTGTGCAGAGGAGCAGCTTAAACCAGAGAGTTTCCTTCCTGGAGAGTTTCCTTGTCTGGTTCCCCTGAAAGCACATGGCGGATGGCTATGGACCTGGATGCTAGAATCCTTGAGACCTGCTGAACTGTGCTGCCTCCCTATGCTCCAGCAAGCTGTCTCCACACAGACGCCATGCCAACCAAGATAGATTTCAACTCAGAAACAACATTCTCAATTGCCTCAAAGGCTTCTTAAACTGTATTCATCACAATCTCTGCACCTCACCCTCTGCCTGCTCCCAATAAAATGCCCTTTCCTCCTCATGTCTAACAATGATACCCTATTCTCAAGATGCCCCAGACTCAAGACCATATTTTATATTTGCATGTGTATTTGTATATATGTAACATTTCATTAGAAACATTTAAATGTGAAACAGACTCTACCATGGTCTACCACTGCCCTGTTAAGTGTAAACACATGAGCCTGGCCTTTCAAGCCCTCCCTCAACCACACACATCTCATCCGTCACTGCTGCCCCATGTGGGTCTCTTCTTCTGTGGGAATTCTGCATTGCTGTCCTTCTGTTCTGCATTGCCATTACCACATTCACATTTCCAAGATCTTGTTCACTGTAGCTCCTCATTTTTCCTTCTTTGTACAATGCAAACTCTACTGTTCTGAAAGAAAATAGATAAAACACAATGTCTTACATGCAGCCTGCCTGAGTTCACCCCAGGGTACAGAGGTGTCTCGGTGATGTGAAATACTTCCAGGTCTACTGAACTCTCTCCTAGTGTTGTCTCACAAGCAGCCAGTGAGCTCCTTGAGAACAAAGAGAGTGCAATGCATCTCTTTATCTCTCACTGCCTTTCAGCCAGCACTGAAGTCATCAAATGTCCATCAATGTCCACAGAGGAAAGGATGGCATAAGGCCAGCTCCTAATTCTCATAAGACAGACACTGTCTGAGAACCTGAAAACCTTTCTGCCCTTACTTCTTGGGTCCTTCAGTTGTACCGGCCATGCATCTCTTTCCTGCCTTTCTACCTAAGCCTGTTCAAATTGGCTCCTGTTATTTTTAGCCAAATAGTCCTCACTTAAGAAATGTGTATTTTAGTCTCAGGGTAACTCAAGTACCTACTGTGACAAAACTCACCAATGATCACACGATCAGCCTCCAAAGTGGCTCACAATCAATAAACCTGTGAGTGAACGCTACTTGGGTAGTGAATTAACTTAGGTCCTCAAGGTCGACGGCGAGGTCTCGGTGTCTTGAATCTAAGTCTCTTGACACGCAGGGCAGTGCTCTTCTCATGTCCTGTGTGCTCACAGATGTTGCTCATGACCAGTGTATGGTTATTTCTCTTCCAAAACTTCTTTTAAAGAAGTTCCTGAGAAGACAGCAAGAGTTAACACAGAGCACAGCTGGAAGGAGACACGAGCCAAATTTCCTCCTTCTCTCTCATGCTTATGTTTAAATAGCTCCCAAACCAGTGGGAGCAGAAAAGGAAGTGAGCATGAGCTTGAGGTGAAGGAAGATCTACAAAATACTTGTGCCCCAGTCCAAGATAAAGTGTGAGACTCATCCCTCTGCTAATTTCAGAGGCTCCTATTAGTCCTAATGACCATATCATATTACCCACTAACAATTACCTTTGTCAATACAAAGCTAGAAATGGTAGAATGCTCTGAGTGTCATTTCTATGTGTCAGACATTGTCTTTGGCATGAGGGACATGGCAGTGAACAAAACAGATAAAATCCTTGCCCTTGTAGGATTTATATTCTCATATAGGAGAACTAATAATGAAATAAGTAGGTAAAACATGCTTTATATCCAATGTTCATACATGCAAGAGTGAAGGATATAGAGGAAAGGACACTGGGGACATTAGTGGTAGCCAAAGGTCAGGGTGGACAGAGAAAGCTTCCCTGAGAATGCCACATGGGACCACAGACACCCTGAGAATGAAAGCAGGACTAAGAAAAGAATGAAAGAAAGAACGAGGAATGAAGGCAAAGAAGATTTCCAGTAGCTCCTGGAGGGCTGCCCAGGCTGGCTCCCTGGACTTTGCTCCTAATTGAGAGGATAGCAAGGACAGAGAGCTAGCAAGTCTCTCCTCTAAGGCAGACAAGGCACAGGACTGGCAGAACCTGTCATCAGCAAGCTGAAGTGGTGGCTCATAAATCCTTCTCAAGAGGTAAGGGTGAAATAAATCTAACACATGTGTTTAAATATGGTATGGTTTCTCTTTTATGAGAAGTCCAAATTATAATAAAGAGCAAAATAAAAGATAAATAACAGAAGTAAGGAGATAGATATTTCTCAAGCAGGGAAGAGGTCAAGAGATGGAGGGAGCGGAAGGGAACAAGATGAAAAAAGGAATTCAGATGTATCATGTACATGTCTCAACTCCCCACAGGAATGTAAACATTATGTGTTGCAAATATGTACTCATAAGAAAAGGAGGCAAACAACAGGAACGGAGGCCTCAAGGGCAGCTTTCCACTTCCGTAGCAGACTACTAAATTGCTTTGATTCCTTCTTTCTCATGTAGCTATCACACACACACACACACACACACACACACACACACACACACACACACACACGGTGTTTAGCAAAATAGCTGACAAGAAGACCTCTCTTACTGCTTTTGGAAACTCAGAGGCAAATTCTTAGGAATAAATGTTTAGATGGGCTGCTGTCTGAATGGTCTCTACCACAAGATCATAACTAAGGGTGGTTTCAACAGGTTACTTAAGGGATGAATCTGTTGGAGCCAAAGAAATTGGTTAGAAATTATGAGAAGAGCTATTTGAACACAAGCACTACGAAACACTTCCCCTAAAACCAAAGATAAAGGACATAATCCCATCAGATCAGCTAGCTATCCTCAGAGTAATCTTTTTCTGGAACTCAGCATGTCCCTGTGATGCAGTTTAGGAAGGTTCCACACACTGATGTGAAGTGACTGTGGCATCTCACCTCTCACCCATCCTTTGGATCAACATGGGCCTCCTTTTATTATATCTTCTATGGATTATATTTTCTATCGAAAAAACATGGACTTAGAGTAAAACCAATCTGGGTTCAGTCCCAGCCCTGTGTTTTACTGGAACTTGATTTAAGCTTTGTTTTCTCAATTCTCTTTTTCCCTATTATACAATCTCCTATACCTCCCACATATGCCCAGGGAAATATCTGGCCTTCTTGAGAATATCATTCTATTAGCTATGTAATGAGACCTTCTATGGGCTCTGGAGTTTCAGTGGCTGACCTAATGCTGTTTTCTAAGTGCTTACTGTATCTCCATCTATAATTTCCTCCTATAGGTTTTTAAAACCTTGTTATCTCAAGAAATTCATCTCATGGTCAACTAGCATACCATGTTCAGCAAGATGGACAATTCATTCTTTCTACTTCACCATCCTAGTTAATGTGGAGTTCAAGCAACCACATCTGTATTTTAGAAAGAAGAAAGGGCAGAAGAACCAGAAAAGTTCCTCCAAGTTGCATCCGTTTCCTTCAGGAAGCTTATTCAGCAGCCCACAGAGTCCTTACATTTACATTTCACTAGCTAGAATTCAGTTACAAGGTAGAGATCACTGCATGATACAGCAAATATGCCTCATAAAAATGAGGACCTGTTATTAAGGAGGAAGCAAGGAATAGATATGTTGATAGGTCACCAATGGTCTCCACCACAAGATTGTAACAAAGGGCGAAATGCAACCATAAGGTGGCTATGGTTGCCCACATGTGGATCACACAGGGTGAGGAATTCACACCCTCCTGCTCTCTTGTGTTTGTGCCCTTGCCCATGCTAATCACCTACCTGGAGGTTCTTCTGTCCTTCTTTACCTAGAGCTATGCTTTCTCAGAGACACAGTATAACTAATACAGTACTTTGAGAAAATCACCCCATCCAATGCCCACTTCTCCCCACCCCCACCCCCACCATCACTCCACATTTTTGTTTTTGGGAGCACTTTGAACACTTCTTAAAATAAGACCTTTACTGCTTTACAGGAATAAGAATACATCCATGAGCTACACTAAGAACTATCCATTTATTTACTAATATTATTTTTCTTCCCCACCCATGTCTTTGTTACTATTCATTATCTATCTCCCAATCCTTTGCTCTTTGAGCTTTTCAGGGGCATTCAAGGTAGGTCAGCATTGAGTTCTACTGATGGTCTATAAAGTTGAAGAGGATTCTGATCATGGATCTATTATATTGAAAGTTCAAAGCCATAATGAGCCTAATAAGTCAGTACAGCATCAAGATGTCTTAACTTACTCTCAAGAAATAGTTTATATTCAGAGACTATGCTTTCCAATGTCCCTAACTCTAAGAAATTATGGGGTTCTCCTTGGAAGACACCATGATAAAGATTATGGCAAGGCATAAAAACACTGCAGCCTTTATAAGGTATGCATGGAGTTCATGATTTATGGGAATTCTTATGTCACACTGAGACAGCTTTTCCTACCTTGGCCTTCAAAGCTATTCTCCTCTGATTGGAACAGATCACTAAGAAAGACATCAGCCAGGAAATAGTAGTTGGAACACAGGCTTCCCTTCCATAAGCCCTTCTATACTAAATGGTCTCTAGTGTCTCTTGGCTTCACTTCCTGGATGAGGGCTATGAAAAGGATGTGGGCAGGGATGGGAAATATATGGATGAGCTGGCTATAAACATCCCACAAAGAAAAGCCAAGAAGTAGGAAGGAGGAATTCCCTGAGATAAGGCCCAAAGCCAGGGAGGACAAACCACTTCTTATGGGGCAATTATAAAATTTCAAATAAACTTCAAGGTTTATCTCCCTTTTATTATCCTACTTCTTTAGCAAAGACATGTTTAGATATTCCTTACTTATCTTTATGACCTACACAGTACAAAGGAAAAGGTCTTGGGTCAATACTTGATGCAGGGGTTTAAAAGGAAATAGTTTCTTCTCCCTCCTTCCCATCCCCCAGGTCAAGATACAGTACTGTAGTAGCTGAAATGATAATTACTGCAGAGACAAGGATTTACTTTTCCTAAGATAAAATTCTCAGTGTAAGAAAAGTGACATAAAATTTCCTGACAAAGAACTAATGAGGCTACAAAGGAAAATACTTAGTATTTTGAGTCAAAAAACAGGGTTTGAACTCTTGTCCTGACGCTGAGCAACCAAAAACCAGCCCCTTGACCTTCCTGCACATCAGCTTTTGGGGGCTAAAAAATAGAGATAATAGAATCTACTTCATAGTCATGTCATAAAACTGAATGAGATTTAAATTGCATATAAAAATAGCCAATGTTATTTAACAGTAGATATACTTATAAATGCTTTTTTGAACCTGACTCAAATGCTGGAAGAGCAAATGCCAGAACAAAGACTGTGTTTGTCAGCTTTCCTTCACTGTGACCAAAAGATCTGAGAAAAACAACTAAAAGGAGAAAAGCTCTAGCTTGGCTCACAGTTTCAGAGGTTTCAGTCCATGGTCACCCAACTCCATTGTTTCTGGGTGTGTAGCGAGGCAGAACATCATGGCAGAAGAGCACAGTGGAACAAAGATTCTCACATTTTGGCAGCTACAAAGCAGAGAGAGGGAGGCCAGATTTAGTTCCCAAGGTCATGCCATCATGACCAACTGTCTTCAACTAGACTCCAAATTTCCAAGTACCTCCCAATAATGCCATCAAATTATTAATCCATCAATGGACTTAATCCACTGATAAAGTTAGAGTGTTCATGGTCCACTTACCTTCCAAAAGCCCATCAGCTTATAAACCAAGTCTTTAGCACATGAGTTTGGGGCAACTTGTATATTTAATCTGTTACAAAAACTTTTGTGTTCCTTCCCTACAGTTAGATGTTTTTCCCTCTATAGACCATCAGCCTCTCTTCCACTCATCCCACATACTAAATTACAAGAAGCATTTACTCCTAAACACTTGAAGATATTGGCATAATTTGCAAATTTTTATCAACAGATTTTATTGAATACCTAATTGTAAAGAACTCTATCCCAAGCATTGCCAGGGTGGTGGGAGGGGTCAACTAAATGAGATCTGCTGTCCTCTGGAGCTTACAATTATTTTTGAGGGACAAGACAAAATTACTACAGATGGTCAGAGCCAATATGGAGATTCTGCCCATTGCCGAGTATGTCTATCCATTTATACATCCAGGAACTAAAGGAAAACCTGCCACAAGGGTTTGCACACCCATCTAGATCTCTATGAGATGAATTAACGCCAAGACTTCATTAATCATTTGATGACCAGAATCTTCCACTTTGACTAATGGATCACAGTAGCACTTGGGAGCCCTAATTTCAATTCAGAGCTAATTTAGGATCTAGTAATCACTGAAAAGTGAAGATTTCCTTTCC